AGGTCACAAGTGGCCAAACCTAGTGTGGGTCCTTAGACAGGACTCCTATATTAAAATCTACCCACCCAAAGCTCAGGGACCCATTGCAGAAGAGGGGGGGGTCAGAAAGAATGCAAGAGGCAGGGAGGAGGTGCATGACCATATGAAAATAGGGTCCTACAGGCTCCTGGGACTCTTCTCATATGAACATATAGCAATGGTGTCAGCATGCACAAGATCCATGCAAACTCAAGTAGACAAAAACCCAGCACAGAACTGTGGAAATGGACAGGTGACCTCAATCTTAGTAAAAGAATTATTGGCAGCTGATCACTGATGGATGAGGAAGAGCTGATCTTCTTAAAGGGAGGGTTTCTAGATAGGCTGACTTGACCTCAGTGGATGAACTTGCACTGAGGGACGACTGGGGACACTAACTTGACATGATAGGCCTAACACAAATGACAGAATGCATGAATTCCAGTGGAGGGGACTATGGAGGGGGATTTTGGGGAAGGGGGTATAAAGATGATTAAGATGTTCTGTATGAAATACACAAAAATTCAATGAAATTTTTTAAATATAAAAAGAAAAAAAATTCCTCAGTTTTATTGCTTATTATTTTCAACAAACCAGTTACAAGTAACCCTAGTTACAAGGTACAAAATTCTATTCCAGTGACTTTTTCCTTGTTTCTTTCTATATTTTAATCTTTATCTTCTATTTCCTGATGTTACTTCTGCATAATCAACCCTCTAAAACAATTCCCTTTATCTTTCCTCAATTACTTAGCTTGACTATATCAGTTCTGATAATGTTTGACTGCAGCCTAAATATAACAGAAATCCTATGGAAATCATATGTAGTAATTTTATATAAACATATTTAAATTTAGAAAATATTCTAAAATACTTAATAAAGGTAAAATACATATAACATAAAAGTTGTCACCTTAAACTTTTCATTTTGCTTCTATACTGCAGTGCTGGGAACTGAGCACAGAATCTTGAGTATAGGAGGCCAAGCACTCTACCACTGAACTATACTTCAATTTTTTTTGGCTTAAAATTTTTTAAAAATATTATAATTGACAAACAAGAATGCAGACATTTAAGGTGTATAATTTGTAAAGTTTTAACAGATACATATGGAATCATTACCACAATCAAATTAATAAACAAAAGTTTATTCCTCAAACATTGTTATGCATACTCTAACTCTCCCTCTGACTGTCTCATCCAATACTCTGCACCCACCCATCTTCTGTCACTGTACGTTAGCTTGCATCTTTAAAATTTGTGATTTTTGTTTTTTATGTGTATGAGTGTACCCATGTCATGCAATGCCGTGGAGGTCAGAAGAGGGCATTGGATCCTGGACAGAATTTTAGCCACCATGTGGGTGCTGGGAATTGAACCCAGGTCCTCTGTAAGAACAGCCAGTGCTCTTAACCACTGAGCCATCTCTCCAGTCCAGGTTAGCTTGCATTTTTGAGAATTTTATAAAAAGGAATCAAACAGTGTGTATTCTATCTAGCATCTTTCCCTCCCCATAATTATGTTGAGATGTGACCATACTGTATCTATCTCTGACCTTCCTTTTAAAATAAATACAATGAAATATTCTATTTAACTATATGAAATAAAACATATAGTTAAAATTACCAACCAACATATAATCTTAAAAGAACTTAGAGCCATTACAAAAACAAAGAGTAATTTATGGTACAACGTGTTTATCACTATCCAAGCTCACAGGCACCAACCCTGAATTTTCATCATTGTATTTAAAGATTTAATTATTTTTATTTCATCACTTTATAAGAAGTTCAATGTAGGAGAAGTTAGACCATATTCTACTAATTACTGTTGCAATTTTTCATTATATCACATAATCTTATATATACAGATCCCCAACTTAAAATGGTTTGACATGATTTTTCAGCTATATGAAGGTAAGAAAGGTTATGAATTCAGTAGGAACTTTTTTTTTTTCTTCTGGACTAGTGATTTGTGGGTAAGATACTCTTCTCATGATGCTAGGCAGTGGCAGTTAGTTGCAGGTCCTGGACAGCATACAATCACAGGGTCATCTTGACCAATTTTAAGGAATGTACTTCATTAGTGTGGAGTATATGGTTGTACAGCTAACTCTAGAACTCTTTCGTTTTGCAAAACTGAAATTCTATACTCATTAAACAACTTCTCAATTCTCTCAGGCCCTGCCCACCTCATTCTCTTCCTTCTCTCTTCTTCTGAGATGGTATCAGAATGCAGCTCATGCTGACCTTTAACACATAATCCTTCTGTCTCTGACTTTCAACTACTGGGTTTACAGGAATGTGCCACCATGTCTGGCTCTACTTTCTCTATGAATTTGTCTATTCTAGAGAAATTTGACCTTTTGTGCCTGGCTTACGTCACTCAGCATAATTTCAAGGTTCACATTTAAGTGTCAGAATGTCCTTTTCTTTTTTTTTTTAAAGACAGGGTCTCCCTGTAGCCCTAGCTGGTCAGGAAGTTACTATGCAGATGAGGCTGGCCTTGATCTCACAGAGATCTGCCTGTCTCTGCCTCCTGAATGACTGCTGGGATTAAAGGTATGTGCCACCACACCTGGTTGTCCTTCCTTTTTTAATTTATAATTTTTTTATTGACTTTTGGCAATTTTCATAAATTTGATATTTAGATTTTCCCCCTATCCACACCTCTCCCTGTTGCTTCCTGCACAATTTAATATACTATAACTCTCTCTCTCTCTCTCTCTCTCTCTCTCACTCTAAGGTCTATAGAATGTGTAATTTGTGCCCCCCAAACTCTTTCAGTATGGGTCCATCCACTAGAGCCTGGTTAGTTAACCGACCAAGAGTCTCATCCTTGAAAGAGACTGACTCTACACTTCCCAGCAGCCACTGGTTACCACAAACCACATTTTCCTTAGGTTGGGTTGGGGCTTCTGATCTACTTCCCCATGTCTATGCTGGGCATTTTTCTGGTTTGAGCTTGCATGGGAGTGGTATATGCTGTCACCATTTCTGTGAGTTCATATGATTAACTGACCAGCTGTCTGGAAAACTGTTTCCTTGTGGTCATCAACCACCTCAGTTCTTGGAATCTTTCTACCCCATCTTTCCCAATGATCCCTGAGCCTTGGGAGACAGAAGTTTGATACAGGTATCCTATTCAGGTTAAGCATTCTGCAGTCTCTTGTTCTCTGCACATTGGCCAGTTATGAGTTTCTTTGCTAATTATCATCTGCTGCATAAGGAAACTTCTCTGGTGAGAGGTGTATGTCCTTCCTTCTTAAGGCTGAACAGTATTTTGTTGTACATATACATTACATTTTGTTTATTTCTCCATGGATGGACAAATGGTTCATTTCTACCTTTTGATTAATGTGAATAATGCTGCTACAAACATGGGTGTATAAACTTGTCTTCAGGAGCTTGCTTTTTATTTTAGATATATTTCAGAATCGGAATTGTATCATATTATATATGTGTTTTAAAAATACCTTTAGTTCGAAGTCATAATATGCAGTTCAATGGTTTTAGTAAATTCAGTACAATCAATTCTACAGTACTCCTCAATCTTTAAGGAAGCTCTGTACTCATTAAAAATCATTCCCTATCACTAAGAGATGCCTGAAAATTTATAGCTGTACCTTGTACCTCTCTCCAAACTCACATAGTCACCTGCCTGAATGCCTAGTAGGTAAAAAAAAAAAAAGAAAAGAAAAGAAAAGAAAAAACAAAACTTAGCTTTCTTAGTTTTCCCTTAAAACATACCCTCAAAATCTTCACAATCTTCCTATCTCAGATTGCTCAAAATAAAACCCTGGACTTAGCCAGCACAAGCACACCTTTGACCCCAACACTGGGAAGGGAGAGGTAGGCAGAACTCTTTAAGTTCAAGACCAGCCTGTCTACATAACAAGGTCCACCTTATCTCAAGAAAGAACTCTTTTTTTACATGCTCTGTATTTAACCACTCAACATTCTTGGTTAAACCATCAAGCTAAACACCTGTAATAGCAACACTCGGAAGGCCAAGGCAGAAGGACTGACACAACAAAGCTTTGAATCCACCAGGCACCTTCTCATCCTTATAATTGTTGCTTCACCACCTGGAATGCTCTTTTCCCAGATCCATATGACCCATTCCTGCCAATCACTCAGCTCTCAGCTTCAATGCTTCCTTGTCAGGAGGCATTTCTGGCCATCTTGTTTGAATCTGCATCGTGCCATGTCCAGGTTGTACATTTTTTATTCCTTTGGCCACTTTCACTCCTTCACTCTAAAACCTTTCCATATAATTTTATGGTCAATCTCTTATAAATGCATACTGAGTTTTAAAAATATTAAAAAGATAGAGTTAAGAAGCATTTACTTTTCAAATAGAATCATCCCCCCCCCAATGGTTTAATAAGCCCATTTTAAAATTCATTCAAATATCATTTCCAGGGCTGGAGAGATGGCTCAATGGTTAAGAGCACTGGATGCTCTTAAAGAGGACCTAGGTTCAGTTCCCAGCACCAACATGGCACTAATAATCTTCCATAACTTAAGTTTCAGGGGATGTGACACCCTCCTCTGACCTCCTCAGGCATTGCATATATGTGATACACCTATACACATCAGGCGAAACATCCATATGCACAAAATAAAAAGAAAAATTAATCCCCCCCAAACACTCAACCACCAATAAAACCCAAATATGATTGTTGGGATCAGGCATGGCAGCACACACCTTTAATTCCAGCAGAGGCAGAGGCAGGTGGATCTCTGTGCGATGTAGGCCAGCCTGGTACACAAAGCAGAGTGATAGGTCGGCTGGGGTTACAGGGAAACCATGTTTCAAAACAAATCCACAAACAAAACAAAACAAAAAACAAACCACCACAACAAAAAATCCCGAAATAATTGTCTTTCAATGTTAGCGAATACTTTTGTGAGGAAAATAGTGTATTATGCTCTTTCTAAAATACTTCTGCATGTTTCCTCCATGCTCTTTTTATATTACCTTGACGATTAACTTCATTTTGAAGTAGCTCTTCCATGGCCTCCTCCTCTGCAATATCCAAAGGTGTGTCTCCTTCACTATTAACAGCTCCTACATGTGCTCCTTGACCAATCAAAAACCTGTAAGATCAAAAGAAGGAGTTAAACAAAGTAATATTACTGAAATACAATTAAATGCATCCAGTGAGAAAAATTCTTATGTCAGAGCAGAAATAGGGACAAAAGCTAATAAACACATGCATTATTTAAATTTATATGAATTATCATAGAAACTTCTATTCCTTTTCTTTTATTATTAATTTATTTTTTAATTTTATATAACTACATGATTAGAAGAAGCATTTCACTACAGTTTTAACATATTCAGTAACACACTCCATAGCAAGAGTACATCTCTTTCACAAGTGGGTGCAAGTTTTTGGTTCACAGTTGAATTAATACAGTTATACAATACTGAACTCAGTATAAGCCCTGTAAGACATAAAATTGAATGAGTTTTAACCTTTAAAAAAGATCTCCATTTCATTTTAGAATATATTGTTTCTTGCAGAAAGACTTGTTTTTGCTAACACTGAGATGCTGGTGCATGCATCTCTAATCTGTATGCATCTGATTATTACTAGTCATAATCAGTTGCACATGGATCGTTGGTGCCTGTGTATGTCTATAAAGTCATGGGGTAGATTTCAATGGTAATGTTTATCACCTCTCCTAATTATCATGACGTAAATTTCCATGATTCTTCCTCAAATATATTTTTAAAAACTGGTTGATTTGTGTGTGTGTGTGTTATCACACAGAACATCACAAACCACCTTATTTAACTATACACCCACTTCCCAGATGGCACCCTCCCATAGCCTCCCTCCCCCCACTAGAGCCCTTATACTCCAATATCCCTGCTACTGTCTGCTGTGCTGTTGGCACCCCCAGCCATTCCCTACTACTTGCCCTTCTGGTGAATCTAGTCAGCCTATCTAGAGGTCTTTGTTTTAGGAGGGTCACCTGTTCCTCATCTAGCAGCAATCAGTTGTCAATATTCCTTTAGATAAGATTGGGGTCTGTTGTTCATTTTCCCAGTTCTATTTTGGGTTATTATCTGGGAGTGCCGTTGGCCAGGGTGGCCAACGACTCAAAAGAAGGTATATCTTATCTGACACTGTTGCTTGTTATGTAGCTTTTAGCTATCCATATGGACTCTAAAGAAATTATATTGCCCCTTTAATCTGTGGTTATACTTTCCTTTTGGGTGTTTAAGGCCATACAGGTGGCCCAGATAAACCAATTTGTTTTTACTCTTAAGATCATTTGAGGATTTGTGCCTCAGGGGTCACATGGGCTTGGGAGGAGCCCCTGGCTCCTTTCTTTTACCAGATCCGCCTATATGAAGATAAGTCAAAGGTCCTGCTCGACCATGGTTGGTTTCGCTTGGAAGTATACAGGAAATGATTCCTCTGTGTTGACCCTCCTCTTTGTAAACTGGACACTGGTTCAAGTCCATCTGGTGGGGTCTCCTCGGCCTCCTTGATCAAGAGGACAAGTGACCCACCACAATTACAGGACATTTTGAGAAATGCTCATAGTCCCCTGGAACTAGTCGACCTAGGAGGGCAAAGAGCAAAAAACTGTCCTTTATGTGCTTCTGACCAAATTACTATAGGCCTCAAAGTATGTCTGTTAAACATCCAAGAAGGTTAGTTTCACCAGTCTGGTAATTTTAATTACTGGGTGGCATGTAGATAAATCTTGGGCAAAGACCAAGATTTTCTTGATCTGCTATGTAGGTTGTAAGAGTAATATGGTTCCCTCTGGTTTTTAAAACTAGCTAGGCATTATTTATCTTACATTGTCTCACCCCCTCGATCATGGTTTTCCCAGTTAAGGTGGCCCATTTCCCCCCTTTCTCCCTTAATAATACCCTTCTCCTATGGTTCTACCTCTCTTAAGCTCTTTCTTTCCTTTTATCCCCTAGGTTCCTTGTATACCCTTCCCTCCCCCCTCCCTTAAACTAACCCAATTTTTGTCCAAATCTCCCTTATTAAGGCCTGTTTCCTACTATTCCCTTTTAGGTTCTTTTCCTTTATCTCCCTGTTTCCTTTCCATTATCCTGGTTCTTGTAGT